CCAAGAATCACTGAACTCTGTTTGGTGTTACCACAGTTTAACACAAATCAAAAATGAACTCGTTTTGGTGTAAATTATTCACTAATGTAGAGTATATTTAAATTTTTAATAATGAAAAATTTTCCCTTTGTGGTGTTAGTACTTTAAAATAATTAATCTTACACAAGGTCAAATTAACTAAAAACAAGTTTCCAAAACAAAGAAAACAACTTCAACGGTCAAATTTAAAACATTTATTAAAACAACAATGAGCATTCAGGCTCAGGAAACGTTCATTTACAAAAATACATCACATCTGCATCAAATGGCAATATGGAACTACATGCAGTGCAGAATCTGTTGTACCATAATCAAATGGTTTGAAAGAGCACAGCTCATTAATATTCACTACCTTTAAAACTCTGTCTGGATGCAGTCTGACTGTAAATGCATGGTAATGGTCATCAAAACATACAGTTTCCATCAGTGTTCCACACAACAACACATTTTCGTCTTTCACAGCAATAGTCTTGATCTTACAAAACACTGGCATCTCACATGCTACTTCTGTACAGTTCTGTACAGTTACAACAACCTGATCAAATGTTCCTGTAGTTTTATTCCTCCTGCTGTCAAATCTTGTGCAAAGCACAATTTCGCTTGGTTCAATAATTCCCCACTTTTCCATAAAGAGTCTCTTTCGCTTGGCTTCCGAATTTAACTAAGTAAATGGATTTTTCCAAATTTTGAAATGAGTGTTCTAGCTTTCTTTTAGTAGCGGTGTCCTGTGAAGGCAGGCAGAGCAAGGCTGCATCCTGGGCCTGACTATGAATCTCAGAAACCATTTCTTCCATAGATGAAACAAAACTATTGATAGCAGATTGACTTAATCCAGCAACTTTTAGTTGTGCAACAGCAGATGCACACATATTGAAAGTGCTCTTATTTGATGTTAACAATACAGATGTTGCGGCCACCTCTCCAGCACTGCCAATCTGATCAAATACTTCAGAACTACTTTGTCCATCTGCCTTGGTAGTCTCATGGCTATCAGTAGTGTCAAAATTTTGCTCACCGTCGCTTTGCTCAGCATGTTTTGTGTGCAGATGTTTCCTAAAACCTGAAAAAGTACCGAACACAGAACCACAACCTGCTTCTATGCATTTAAGGCTTAGATTCTTCCCAGGAACAAAACCATGAACTAATCTGAGGTGCCTAAGAAGCTCTTTTGAACCATTTGAATCAGCTTGACAAACAAAACTCTTCATGGGGGCAGAAAAACTTAAGGGACCTAGCTAAGCAACCTTGCTCTGACTTCAGCAACACGAGGACTCTCTTTAACTTTGCCAACATCTATGTTGTACACAGTGGTCTGAATGAAAGTGTACATGTTGTGTAGCATAGTGTTGTAGGAGGTACCAAAAACAAAGTGTGACTTAAACAGTTCGTCAAAGGCACCAAGAGAAGAGGTTGACTTGCATGGAATGGCATGCTGATCGAGGATGATGTAGAACTGGTGAACTGATTTCTTCTGAGGTCCCACAGCCAGGAGATAGGGCTGAGCACTAGCAGTGATGTTTCGAAGATGCTCCTCAATGTTTGTTCCACTCTGAGAAGACCAAGCAAATTGAAGAGAACCATAACTGATGTGTTAAATAAAAGAAACTATGAAGAAAAAGAAGAAAAAAAAGCACACACACCTTCTTGAAGACAACAAGATGTTTCTCTGCTTGAGAAGCAGACACCTTTCCTGGTCTCTTTCGGCCTTGGGCAGAAGGTGGGATCAGATGCAACAGCAGTATTATAGAAGAGAGGTCAGAGTCCCAAACTGTTCAGACAGAATTAATTATGTTAGCAAAATCTCATCAATAAAGAAAATTGATAATGAAGAATAAATATCAAAAACATTTATGGGAACTACAACCCGAATTCCAGAAAAGTTGGGACGTTTTTTAAATTTGAATAAAATTAAAACTATACGACTTTCAAATCACATGAGCCAATATTTTATTCACAATAGAACATAGATAACATAACAAATGTTTAAACGGAGAAATTGTACACTTTTATCCACTAAATGAGCTCATTTCAAATTTGATGCCTGCTACATGTCTCAAAATAGTTGTGACGGGGACACGTTTACCATGGTGCAACATCTCCTCTTCTTTTCAAAACAGTATGAAGACGTCTGGGCATCGAGTTTATGAGTGTCTGGAGTTTTGTGTTGGAATTTGGTCCCATTCTTGCCTTATATAGGTTTCCAGCTGCTGAAGTGTTCGTGGTCGCCTTTGACGCATTTTTCGTTTATGATGCACCAAATGTTCTCTATAGGTGAAAGATCTGGACTGCAGGCAAGGCCAATTCAGAACCCCGGACTCTTCTACGACGAAGCCATGCTGTTGTAATATCTGCAGTATGTGGTTTTGCATTGTCCTGCTGAAATACACAAGGCCTTCCCTGAAATAGACGTTGTCTGGAGGGGGAGCATATGTTGCTCTAAAACCTTTATATAGCTTTCAGCATTCATAGTGCCTCCCAAAACATGCAAGCTGCCCATACCGTATGCACTTATGCACCCCCATACCATCAGAGATGCTGGCTTTTGAACTGAACGCTGATAACACGATGGAAGGTCTCCCTCTTCTTTTGTCCGGAGGACACGGCGTCCGTGATTTCCAACAAAAATGTCAAATTTGGACTCGTTTGACCATAGAATACTTTTCCACTTTGAAATAGTCCATTTTAAATGAGCCTTGGCCCACAGGACACGACGGCGCTTCTGGACCATGTTCACATATGGCTTCCTTTTTGCATGATAGAGCTTTAGTTGGCATCTGGAGATGGCACGGCGGATTGTGTTTACCGACAGTGGTTTCTGGAAGTATTCCTGGGCCTATTTAGTAATATCATTCACACAATCATGCCGATGAGTGATGCAGTGTAGTCTGAGGGCCCGAAGACCACGGGCATCCAATAAAGGTCTTCGCCTTTGTCCCTTACGCACAGAGATTTCTCCAGTTTCTCTGAATCTTTTGATGATGTTGTGCACTGTAGATGATGAGATTTGCAAAGCCTTTGCAATTTGATGTTGAGGAACACTGTTTTTAAAGTGTTCCACAATCTTTTTACGCACTCTTTCACAGATTGGAGAGCCTCTGCCCATCTTTACTTCTGAGAGACTCTACCTCTCTAAGACATCCCTTTAATCATGTTACAGACCTGATATCAACTTAATTAGTTGCTATAGATGTTCTCCCACCTGAATCCTTTCTAAATTTCTTGCTTTTTCAACCATTTGTTGTCCCCGTCCCAACTATTTTGAGACCTGTAGCAGGCATCAAATTTGAAATGAGCTCATTTAGTGGACTAAAGTGTAAAATTTCTCCATTTAAACATTTGTTATATTATATATGTTCTATTGTGAATAAAATATTTGCTCATGTGATTTGAAAGTCGTATAGTTTTCATTTTATTCAAATTTAAAAAACGTCCCAACTTTTCTGGAATTCGGGTTGTAAATAAAATATACTGTTATTTTATTTTTTTTAATTATTTTAAACATCTTACCAAAATTAACACAATCTTCTGAGTCATCAGACGGAGATTCAGCTGCTAGCAGGAGTTCTCCAACATCACTGGTGGTTGGAAGCTTTTTGCACTGCTGAATCACTTTTTTCTTGAATGCAGTAGTCCACTTCTCCAGTAGCTTGCCTGACGCTCCTTCTCCAAACATCAGAACTAAGTCTTGCTCAATTTAAGGAAGGGAATCACTATTAGACATAAACCCTAAACAAACGTATTTTTTAGAAAACAGCTAAGCATTTTTAAAAATCCTTAAATCTGGGATTATAAAGACTTTACTTACCAAGCCTTTAACGTCTTTGAAACGTGGAAAGATATATCACTTGACAGCATAGGGTCAAGAACCATGTTGCGGCGATAGTCAAATGTCAATTTCATCTTCTTCTTGACTGCGTCCTCATCTGCAGAATGGTTCATGAATGCAATTGCTTCCTTGCACTCATCCTCACTCAAGACGGTCTCCGGAGTAAACTCTGCCTCCCGTCTTACAGTTGGTCCACCAGACATCCCCTCAGCAGACGATCCTTGTCCTGATGAATTAAGCATTTTAGAACCTTCAACACTGCATAAAGGTAATAACTATAGACAGTTCATACTAAAAAATAAAAAAGGTAAAAGAAACCATCTTTAGAATGTCAGTTATGGCAACTCAATAGCAACAAAACTGTGATAGATGGCACAATGAACTATGAAAAAAAGGTGATTTCTGAATTACTGTCATAGAGAGTCAGAAGCGTGCAGATCCATGTGCAGTTTATATTTATTAAGAATAGTCAGACAGGCAGAAGTCAATGATCGGCATACAATATAGAGCAGGTAATCCAGAGCATAAACAATACCAGGCAGAGGTCAGGACAGGCGGCAACAATCGTAATCCAGAAGAGACAGGCAAGGGTCAGGGCAGGCAGCAAACAGAGAATAAAGTCCAGGAACAGTCGAGGGTCGATAAACAGAGAATCCAGATAAACACAGGGAAAACGCTCAGAAATGTCGCCGGGGCAAAACAAGACTTCGCCCTGGTAGAGAGTCTGAGGGCTGTTTATATGGAGCGTTGAAATGAGGAACACCTGTGCCGGTAATCAGTGCTAGGTACGGGGCTTATGGGAAATGGAGTTTGTGTGAAACCTAGTCTTATCTGGAGTGCCCTCTGGTGGATAAATAGGGCACTCCAGCTGGTAACCGTTACATAGCCCCCCCTTTAAGGAGCGGATTCCAGACGCTCCTTACAATGTCCAGGAGAGATGTGGAGGACCAGGCCCGTGGAGCGGAAGAGGAACTGGAGACTGTGGCGGAGCTGGCTGTGGAGGCGACCAGGTCGGAGCAGTCGAAGACCAGGGCGGCGCTGTCGGACCCTCGGGCGTCCAAGGCGAAGCAAAATGTGGGCATGGCCAGGGCAGAGCAGGCTGTGGACGTGACCAGGGCGGAGCTGTGGGACCCTCAGGCGTCCACGGCGGTGAAGCTCCCTCAGGCGTCCACGGCGGTGAAGACCCCTCAGGCGGCCACAGCGGTGAAGACCCCTCAGGCGGCCACGGCGGTGAAGACCCCTCAGGCGGCCACGGCGGTGAAGACCCCTCGGGCGCCAAGGCGGTGAAGACCCCTCAGGCGACCACGGCGGTGAAGACATTTCAGGAGACCACGGCGGTGACGACCCCTCGGCTGCCCACGGCGGTGAGAACCCCTCGGGCGGCCACGGCGATGAAGACATTTCAGGAGACCACGGCGGTGACAACCCCTCAGCCGCCCACGGCGGTGAGGACCCCTCGGGCGGCCACGGCGGAGCAGGACGAAATGAAGGCCATGTCTGTATCGCCTCCATGGCCCTCACAAGGTACCTACTGCCCCCCCCAAAAAAATACTTGGAGAAGTCCACAGGGAATTGAAGGGCACAGCTTGAACAGAGCTTGAAAGGCACAGGCAGAGCGAGGCGGAGAGGCGGGGCTGGCAGGGCGAGGCGCAGAGGCGGGGCCGGCAGGGCGAGGCGCAGAGGCGGGCCGGCAGGGCGAGGCGCAGAGGCGGGGCCGGCAGGGCGAGGCGCAGAGGCGGGGCCGGCAGGGCGAGGAGTCCTGGTAAGCTCACCGAAGCCTGGCGAACTGAACGAGCCCTCCTTCTCCTCCTGCGGCGGCGTTTCACTTGAACTGAAGATTCAATCACATGAACTGAAGACTCATGATGACTCACTTGAACTGGAGATTCATCACTCGCGAGGCTTGACTGAAGTGCAGGCTCGGCAGGGCTGACGGTCTCGGACTGGACGGTCACTGGCTGGACGGTCACTGGCTGGACGGTCTCTGGCTGGACGGTCTCTGGCTGGACGGTCTCTGGGAACGCCCCCTCGGCCTTCTCCTCAAAGCCCACAGTAAATGATGATCCGCTCAACAGAAGAGCCAGGTCAATGTATTGCTCTAAAGTCCCGTGAGGATCATGCAAGGGCATGAACGAACTGAGCGGTTCAGATAGTCCTCCACGAAAAAAGATCATTAAGCATACCTCATCTAGGCAGGTCAGGTGAGCCAGCTCTAAAAAGTCAGCAACATAATTCTCAATGGAATGATCTCCTTGACGGAGACGCATAAGCTTGACTGCTGGATTCATGACGATGATGGCTGCTGGATCTTGTGTCGGCGAAGTCTTCTGTCATAGAGAGTCAGAAGCGTGCAGATCCATGTGCAGTTTATATTTATTAAGAATAGTCAGACAGGCAGAAGTCAATGATCGGCATACAATATAGAGCAGGTAATCCAGAGCATAAACAATACCAGGCAGAGGTCAGGACAGGCGGCAACAATCGTAATCCAGAAGAGACAGGCAAGGGTCAGGGCAGGCAGCAAACAGAGAATAAAGTCCAGGAACAGTCGAGGGTCGATAAACAGAGAATCCAGATAAACACAGGGAAAACGCTCAGAAATGTCGCCGGGGCAAAACAAGACTTCGCCCTGGTAGAGAGTCTGAGGGCTGTTTATATGGAGCGTTGAAATGAGGAACACCTGTGCCGGTAATCAGTGCTAGGTACGGGGCTTATGGGAAATGGAGTTTGTGTGAAACCTAGTCTTATCTGGAGTGCCCTCTGGTGGATAAATAGGGCACTCCAGCTGGTAACCGTTACAATTACATTCTGTACCATCACGTGATGCTCTTCGTTCTTTAGCCAGGCCTCTTTGTATAGTTTTGATTCTCCATGCCAAGTACCCAGTGTCACTCTCACCATCATAGTAATGCTCCTAAAAAAAGACAAAAAAAAAAAAAATAGTATTAATTCAAGAGCAAAATACACCACCTGTATTGTGTGTGTGATCATCAGCATTTAACATGTCAACACATGAATTAAAATAATAAGAAAATTATGATTCTTACGTAGCCTTTTTTGGACATGGGGTCACTGAGGTAAGGGAACAAAGACACAATTCCTCTGGCATATTTTTCTTTAACCTGCCTTGGTGGTGATGTACTGTATAATAAATAAAATAACCTAGCTTTAGCACAGGTTAAAAAAAAAACAAGAAATTATGGAACATTGAGAGATTATATAAACACCAGTTAAAGATACGCAGATTACCCATTCTTTTCTGTCATGTCAGCTGCCAGGATGTTCACCATTTTCCTCCTCGTTTCATCACTCAAAGACTTGAATCGGTTGTATTCATTATTTATTACATGCTCCCCACCGGGTTTATGGACAAGAATGGATTCCACCAACTTAAAAAAGGCATAAATATGGTATGTTTAAATACAAAACATTACCAGAAACAAATTATGTAAAAATAAAAAGGTTCAAAAGCTATTTCAAATTGATGAACTTTACAACTTTGATGCCCACCTTTTTAGCTTCATCGTCTAGTCTAATTCTTTTACTCGAGGAGCTTTCTTCAATAATTACTGTATCCTGTGAGTCAGTGGAGTCAATTGATGAAGACAGGGACACATTTAACTGCACAGGAGAGGCTTGTGGAGAGGCAGATTCCAAGTCTAGTTGAATATAGGGTGGAACAAGTCTTCATGATACTAATAAACAAGTACTGAGAAAATTGATTAAAAAATAAATAAAAACATACAAACCTTCACCATGTTTTATGGTGAGAACACCAACTAAGGGATCTTTCACTACATCCTCAAAAACATCCTCATCCACCTCTGTCCCCGATTCATCGACAACCTTCACATTCTCGGGTACAGTTGAGACACCAAACTTTAAAAAAGCTGGGGAAAAAAGTATGCCAATTAATGAGAAAGGATATACATTACAAGGTTGATCAGTTACTTGTTGGTAACTCTTAACATCAGAGCAAATGTAAGATGTGACAGTATTATAAAATACAATTACCAAATCCCAAACAATCAGAGATGCACCTATCGAAATTCATTAAAGTGGCCGGTGAACTGGGAGAAGAATAGGGTAAAATATACACAATGTGCATCTGATATGAATAAAACATGTCATCTTATTATAATGGAAATGATTATTGCCGCTTCCATAGACATCATTGTGTATTTTACAAACTCTTTTTTTTTTTTTTTTGCTAATACTTATGTGTATTTAAATGTCTGAAAACTAAAAATAAACAATATGTGGTTGTTAACACGGAATAGTTGGATATATGACGGCACTAAGCGCGTCTGTCTCAGGCTCAGCACCAGCCAACGCGGGAAAGAACATTTGAATCAGGTTTGAATTTGGCAGTTGATCACGTGATGCACTGACAGTAATAATCGCAACGGTGTGTGTCATCTTACTCCAGGCAGGGACCAGCCAAGGCCATCATGCGTGCGAAAGGATTAATAAAATCAAATGTTTCATTGCTAATGAATCGGCCTTTTGAATTAATCTTTGGAATGAATGATTCAAGAACAAATACATAATTCCAGTCTCTTGGCGTCACCTTGTGGCATAACGATGTAATTGGTAGCCTACACTTTTATTTTAAAGTTAAAAAAAAAGTGATTTGCTCGATTTTTATACCAAGTTTATATCAATACATTAAACGTTTATCCCAGTACTTCAGCGATTCATTTTAATATTTGCAACACAGAAACAAGGATGCGATGGATGCGTGTTTGACAAGACTGAATACATTTCACACAGCTGCTCAGGGCCAGCAGCATAAAAAACGCACATTTGAATCATCAAGATTAAACGATTTATCGCTATAATAAGTATATATTTTTCTTACCAGCAGTCTGTCACAGTCTTCGTCTGCACCGTCCTGTCTTGTTATCTGCACTACACTTCCCAGGATCCTCTTGTCTCCACTCCTGAACTCACTCCCTCATCAGCCACCTGTTCCTCGTCTTGTTCATCAGTATCACCTGTCTTCACATCGTTATGTTTGATTCCTCCCTGTATTTAGTTCCCTCTGTTGCATTCAGTTATGGTCGGTCAATGTTGATGTTACCCTTCCGTGTCGTGAGTGTTTCCTGCCTGTACCCGTGCCTGTTGGCGATTCTGAGTTAAATTAAAGTGTTTGCATTGGAGCATTCGCCTCTTGTTCTCCTTCTTCTGCCTACACTCCACCGGCCCCGTGACAGATTGACCGACCCCAAAGGAAAAAAAGATGGACATTCCTGCAGTGGCTCTTCTTTGCCTGGATCAGGAGGACCGTTCCCTGGAATCCCATACACGGGACTTTCTGGAGTTGGCGTGCCTGACTCACTATTCTGACCACTCGCTGAGTGAGTTTTACATCGCCAGCCTCAGCGAGCGGTCCCGGGCACGCCTCCCAGGGAACGGTCCCGATGATTTCGCCGCCTGTGTGGAGTGGGTGCTGGTGTGCTGTGGGTCTCCATTCACCGTGGAGAAAGTCACCAGCACCACTCCCAAGCTCGAGCTCTCCACTCTGCTGGTTCCGTCCAGCCCTCCAGAGATTGTATGCTCTTCACTGCTGGTTCCGTCCAGCCCTCCAGAGACTGTATGCTCTTCACTGCTGGTTCCGTCCAGCCCTCCAGAGACTGTATGCTCTTCACTGCTGGTTCCGTCCAGCCCTCCAGAGTCTGTATGCTCTTCACTGCTGGTTCCGTCCAGCCCTCCAGAGTCTGTATGCTCTTCACTGCTGGTTCCGTCCAGCCCTCCAGAGACTGTATGCTCTTCACTGCTGGTTCTGTCCAGCCCTCCAGAGACTGTATGCTCTTCACTGCTGGTTCCGTCCAGACCTCCAGAGTCTGTATGCTCTTCACTGCTGGTTCCGTCCAGCTCTCCAGAGACTGTATGCTCTTCACTGCTGGTTCCGTCCAGCCCTCCAGAGACTGTATGCTCTTCACTGCTGGTTCCGTCCAGCTCTCCAGAGACCGTCCAGCCAGCGCCAGAGACCGTCCAGCCTGCCCCAGTGACCGTCCAGCCAGAGCCCGAGACCGTCCAGCCCGAGCCCGAGACCGTCCAGCCTGAGCCCGAGACCGTCCAGCCGGAGCCCGGGACCGTCCAGCCAGAGCCCGAGACCGGCCAGCCAGAGCCCGAGACCGTGATCCCACCCAGCCTCCCTCTCCCACCTCCTCCTATCCATCATGTTTTCACCATCTCTCCACCACTGCTTGGCAGCCCCACTACTTCCCCGGAGTGCTTCGAGGAGGTAGAATCGTCGTGGGTCTGCCGGCCACCAACTCCATCTGGGTCAGGGGATCCCCGGTCTCCTCCTCGAACCTCCTCGACCTGGTCTCTGCCGCAGCCCTCTGGTCCATTACCTCCACCATGGCTCGTACCTCCCTCAACCCCGCCGTGGCCCCTCAGCCCACCAGCTCCTCCAGGCTTCCTCGTCCCCCCGGTTCCACCTTGGTCCTTCATCGACCCGCCCTCACCCTGGGACTGCGTCCTTCGGGCTCTGTTGGGCTCTTCTCTCCCTCCGGTTCCACCTTGGTCCTCGGTCGCTCTGGCTGCGCCGCGGTCTTCAGGGTCCTCGTCTCGGCCTCAGTCGCCGGAGCCGTTGGTGTCGCCATGTCCCGCCAGCCCGTCTACATCGCCCGGTCTCGCTGGCTCGATGGCCTCACCCGGGTCTCCTCGAGCACCTGCTCCGCCTCCATCAGTCGGCTCCCTGGAGTCGTCAGTCCTGCCCCCTCCATGGCTCCTCCCTCCGTCATCTCCGCCGTGGCCGCCAGAAGGGTCTTCACCGCCATGGCCGCCTGAAGGGTCTTCACCGCCGTGGCCGCCTGAAGGGTCTTCACCGCCATGGCCGCCTGAAGGGTCTTCACCGCCGTGGCCGCCCGAAGGGTCCGCTCAGCCATGGCCACGCCCTCAGCCTGCTCCGCCCTGGCCACGCCCTCAGCCTGCTCCGCCCTGGTCTCGCCCTCAGCCTGCTCCGCCCTGGCCACGCCCTCAGCCTGCTCCGCCCTGGCCACGCCCTCAGCCTGCTCCGCCCTGGCCACGCCCTCAGCCTGCTCCGCTCTGGCCACGCCCTCAGCCTGCTCCGCCCTGGTCTCGCCCTCAGCCTGCTCCGCCCTGGCCACGCCCTCAGCCTGCTCCGCCCTGGCCACGCCCCGCCCAGCCCCCAGTTCGTCCCCCCTCCTTCCTCTGTTATGCGGCGTGAGGTCACGCCTCCCGGGAGGGGGGAGTTCTGTCACAGTCTTCGTCTGCACCGTCCTGTCTTGTCATCTGCACTACACTTCCCAGGATCCTCTTGTCTCCACTCCTGAACTCACTCCCTCATCAGCCACCTGTTCCTCGTCTTGTTCATCAGTATCACCTGTCTTCACATCGTTATGTTTGATTCCTCCCTGTATTTAGTTCCCTCTGTTGCATTCAGTTATGGTCGGTCAATGTTGATGTTACCCTTCCGTGTCGTGAGTGTTTCCTGCCTGTACCCGTGCCTGTTGGCGATTCTGAGTTAAATTAAAGTGTTTGCATTGGAGCATTCGCCTCTTGTTCTCCTTCTTCTGCCTACACTCCACCGGCCCCGTGACACAGACAAAAATTCCTTCAGGCTCAGCTCGGATATTTTAACAAATTTTTGGCCATCCCCAAGTTTCACCTTAACCAACATGCTCTGTAATAAGAAACACAGTTTTACACAATGACAGTGGAAACGCGTTTTGTGTCTATAACAAATAAATAAGTAAATACATTCTGGTGCAACAGTTTGTTTAACGTTAGTCAACAGTATTTGAAATTAACGTTAGGTCTCCTTTGAATTTAGACAATGCGATCTCGACGGGCGGCTAATGTATTGCAGATATTCATCGTTTAAAAATAACAATATACAAATTATCTGTATAACAATACCAACTGTAAACATCAGAAATACAAATTATAAGATCATTTACACCATTTTACATTTATTGTCACCACATTGTGACGAAAAAAAAATTCTCCATCAGATGAACTCACTGAGAAGTTCGGGTTTGAACGGATCACAATACACCAAATTCAGCAAACTACAACATAAACAGTAATATTAACACATTTATTCACATTAAATAGTTTTAACGTGTTACTTAACTTTCCATTCGTGCGATGTAGAAGAAAATGGCGACGACCACGAGAAAATTCAAGTCTGATCTGGCTGGATCGAGGGGCGGAGCTTATCAGTGTAAAGTTAACGAGACAATTTAAAGGGTTAGTTCACCCAAAAATGAATATTAAGTCATTAATTACTCACCCCCATGCTGTACCAACCCCGTAAGACCTTCGTTCGTCTTCGGAACACAAATGAAGATATTTTTGATTAAATTTGAGAGCTGTATAACTACCACATTGGCTCCGACTGCCTCTTGACGGCCCAAAAAGTCAATGAAGAAAATGTTTAAATATCCCAAGTGACTACCGTGGCTCAACTATATGTTTATCAAGCGACGCGAATACTTTTTGTGCGAAAAAACAAACAAAAATAACGAGTTTATTCGACTATTTCTTTTCTTCCTTGTAGGCCAGAACGAGACTTCCTTATAGATTTCCACGACGCATGCGCGAGAATTGCGATCTGAAGTAGTGTAAGCTGGTGTAAGCAGATCGCAAATCTCGCGCATGCGTCGTGGAAATCTAAGGAATTCTCGTTCTGGCCTACAAGGAAGGAAAGAAATAGTCGAATAAACTCGTTATTTTTGTTTGTTTTTTCGCACAAAAAGTATTCGCGTCGCTTGATAAACATATAGTTGAGCCACGGTAGTCACTTGGGATATTTAAACATTTTCTTCATTGACTTTCTGGGCCGTCAAGAGGCAGTCCCTTAGGAGCCAATGTGGTAGTTATACAGCTCTCAAATTTAATCA